GGATTGATTATATTAAGTTTGCACATAACAGGGTCTCGATCCCAAAACTTTGTAGGGTCTTCTCCTATTATGCTAGTTTTGTTTAACCTATCCAGTATCTGTTGGATGTTGTCAAACGTGATTGTTTTTGATATCTTTATGGAAGAAAAAGATTCCATGATATCATTTGAGTAGTAATAATCAAAGTTTTCTAAATCTTGTTCCATACAATCACATATGTCAGAAGATTTAGAATTATTACAAGAACATCTATCCATAGGTTGTTCTATGTATTTTGGGTTGTCGCTGCTAATTATGGGAGACATTTGTGTTCTATCACTAATTATAACATAATCTTTGTTTATAGTGATAGTTCGATCTTGGCCTAGGATAAAATCTAAACCAATAATCATGTTTTGTTTGGAGGGGACTAAATTTTCCACTCTCATAGTTTTGATGTGTATTTTCTGACCAAACAGGTCACAATTTGTGCTAAATTGAAGAGAGATATTCCTTATCTCTTCATCATTTATCATTATTTGACCAGACATCGTTCCGGTTTTTGTACATGTTTACTTTTAGTAATCATGTATGTGGGTACTTTTGTTACGCATACAACTGTTTCGAGAACATCCCGTATCTAAGAGTGCTTGAACTACGACCTCTTTGGCGGTGTATTTGTCTTTACGGGGAAAGTTTAGTTTAACTAATACCTTAACGGTTATTAGTTGTTTTGTATTACAAACTAATGGGATACGTTCCGTAGTTCCCATCATGTTGTTTTGTGTATGAAAAGATACTAAATCTTTTTGAGTATCTTTTCCTTTAACAATTTTTTCTAAGTGAAGAACCTTTTCTTCAATTAGATTTAATCGAGTTTCTAAGACTGAAGTCCTAGTGTCGATTAAATTTTTGTCTTTTGTACTTTCTTCTTTTTCTAAGAAAGTAGGTATATCCTGTATCCCTTGTTTAGTTTTTAAACAATCTATACAGAAATTTTTGTAACAAAGGGGACAATGAGCCCTTTGAGAAATGTGAAAATATCTTTCACAATGTAGACAAGGAATTGATCCTGGTCCCGAGAAAATTGAATGTCATGACAACATATATTTTTCTCTGTTGTGTTCATTAAACCATTACCCAAATAGTCTAATGTTTCTCCTAAGTTAAGAAGAAGCTTAGGGGTTTGTAGACTCGACTCCATACAAGGCATATTGTCTAGTGTAGGGTTTTGGTTGTTATCCAAACCAATATTTTGTAGTGATTTTATAGAATCGTCATCGGATTCTATCTGAGTTTGAGAATCAACTGATTCAACACTCATGTTTTCGGACCCTAAGGTTTCTAAGGGTTCCGAGATTTCGAATAAATTATCCTCTTCATCCGGATAAAATTCATCTAAAAATCCGTTTATAATGTCATCAAAAGATACATTATCTATTGTTTCTTTTACATATCCTATCATAGGATCTGTTTTCGTTTTTAGGGATAGTAAAAATACTATTCCTATTTTCCTTCGACCTATCTTGTTCTAGGTCTAGGTTTGCTAAAGTTTTTGAGAACCAATCCTGTAGTTCTCGTGTTCTACTACCAAAGTATCTACAACTTCTTGGTAGTCTCTATCCGCAATAGGGTTAGCTAAATAACCCCAAGGGTTTTTCCTACGTGACTTAAAGTATCCCATATACTCTATACTCGCCACATAGAAATATCAATCTTTTTAATTTTCTAGAAGTCTCTTCTAGAAAAATATCTATACTTGTCTAGTATAGACTTTTTGTATCCCTCTAAAGGGAAATTTATAATTTGTTTAACAGCTATCGAAGTCGTCTTGTAATCTTTATCTATAATGTTTTGTTCAACGACTATCAAAGCTGTTTTGTAGTTTTTGCTCGAAACAGTGCGTGTAGTGCCTACCAAAGGCAGTGTGGTGAAAGGCTTCAAACCTTCCATTAAAATTTTTAAAATAAATTAAAAAAAGGCGGAAAATCAGAGAGTAAAAAAGTAAGGCAGCAGGTGAGTGGAGAGGGATAAGGGAATCCAAGGAATACACTGTAAAGCAATATTTATAAAAGAATATAGATAATCATAAGGCTTAAATGAAAATCTTTTTGGTTGATTTTATACAATTTTTGGTTTTTATGTTTTTTTTTTTATAAAGTGATAAAAGAAAAACACACAAACATACAAGAAAGAGAATTTAAAAAAAACGAAAATATTTTTCTTTGCAAAGACTGCCGCAATATGCAAAGTATTTTCTCAACCCACAAAGGTACTAAATATTTTCGCAAAGACTGCCGCAATATGCACGTGTTCCTCAACCCACAAAGGTAGCTATGCGGGACTTAGGGTCTCGTGGCACTCTCTGGCCTTAACCTGCAAAAGTGGCTAGCGCTTGGCGCCAAACTCTTGGTATCAGAGCGAGGCCGCGTGCTCGATTCCTGCCGAGGACGGAATTGGGGCAGCGTGTGGTAAGTCCCCTCGAGATTCCCGAAGAGTGGGGGAATCAGAGTCGCGGAAGCGTGGTGGGACCGGTGGTTAAAGTAATAAGTGTGAACCCTTACTAACAGCTTAAGCTTTTAGCTAAGTGACTAGCGCTTGTTGCCTATCTATAAACATATAATATAATGATAAGACACTTATATATGCAAACAACACAGTATAATAAATTTAAAATTGGTTGAGTAAATGGAAATAGTCAACATCCATTGATTATAAAATTATTACCCTGTGGAAGTGATTTTTAATTAGATCATTTGGAGAAAGAAAAATGAAAGAACATTCCCACTCCACCACCCCACAAAATAAGTTATGATCATATTGTGTTATATTGTATTTATAAGTTAATTTGTTTTGTTATTTTTGTCATTATAAATTAAGTTATATTTTGTTGTCGGTTTTGAAGTTGGATTTTTTTTTAAATGTATTTTTCATTTTTAACAATTAATTAATTAGATATTAAAGTTTTAATCAATAAGTCAATTTTGTTTTTTTTTATTTACAATAAAAAATAAACTAAAAGACTTTAAAAAAATATTTTTAGAAAAATATAACTAAAATTATCAATTTAAAAATAAAGGAATAAAATATAAGTATGATTTTTTTTTCTTCTAAAAATAACATATGAATGATCTATTCACAAGAATGATACAAATACCTAGAAGTAATGAAGAGAATATACTTTTTTGAATATACTGATAATGATTACTTTTGATGAATTTCTCTTATAATATTTTAAGATGGAAGGTTATCAAAACATTTTTACTTTTAATATTTTAAGGATTAGAAATAGAGTTTTTTTTTTTTTTTATTTTGATTGAGAAATTATGTTATATTATATTTATGAGTCTATATTAAATTATTTTTTAAAAATGAAACTGTGATGAAATAATAGTTGATCGTTGACAAAGTAAAATAATGTTCTTTTCATGTAACAGTATTTTCAGAGGGATGGATTTAAGGGTTCAGTGACTCCAACAATTACATATTATAAAATTAAAATAAAATAAATTTAGAAATATAAATAAAGTATATTTTTTTAACAATATTATATTTATTTTTTATATAAATATTTTTCATATATTTTTTTTCTTATTCAACTTTTTTTCTATCATACATTTATTATTTTCTTCACATTTTTATTTTTTTATTTATTATTTATTCACTTATATATATAATTGAAGAAAATTTGTAATTTTTTTATTCACTTTAATGATATAAGATAAGAAGTTAAAAATAAAAATAAAAGAGATATCTAATAAAAAAAATTTAAATAAAAAGAAATTATTTTTTTATTATTTTGTTCATCATTATAATAAATTAGCACGTGTAATTTAATATAAAATATGAAATATTAATATTTTATTTATTTATTATAAATTAATTAGTTATGTTAATATTTTATAATTTTATATTTTGATATTAAAATATAAAAAAATAAAATTAGATTAAGTTTTAAAAATGTTTTAAAGAGTATTATACTTAAAATAATAATTTTTACCCAAAATTTTAATTCAATTAATACATTAAACATATAAGTAAATATTTTATATAATATATATTTTTATAATAATTAATTTATATATATTACTACTTATTTAAAACTTCTGTTCTGCAACCAAAAATATATATAAGGTAGTTTCAACTTTTGTTAAAGTAAAAATATAATTGATTTATTGTGTTTTGTTGAGAAAGTAAAACGTGTATATATATATATATATATATATATATATTATTTTTTTTTCTTTTTCAACATATTAAAAAATTATTGTTTTTAATCAAATATTTATAATTTTTTACCTTTAGTTTATAGATCATAATAATTGTAAAAATAAATTAATATATTAATAACATAAATGGTATAAAAAGCAATTAATGTGACATTGAATTTAAAAAAAATTTAATTAAAAAAATTGTATTTTTTGAAAAATTATACGGTTAAAGAAAAATAAATATTTTTTTTGGAATTTATATTCATAACACATTTCCTATGTGATGTGTATTACAACCCAAAAACCTATAATATAGGTTACATGACTATTTTTATCGCAAAGATATTGAAATTTATTAGTATTTTTAAACTTGTAATCTTTACTAGTTGTTGAGAATTAAAAAGAAATAAATTAAAATTAAATATACCAAACAATGACTTATGTATGAATATGATAGGTGGACGCGTTCGAGGGCAACAAAAGGTTAAAAATGAGAAAAAAAAATAAAAAATCCTGTAAGGCGCATGCGTGTTGAGTTAATTAATTAAAATTACTGCAAGTAAAAATAAAAAAGCAGGTAAAAACGAAAATGGGGGGATTTTGGAGTGAAGTTCGGTGGGTGTTCGAAAATCGGAGGGCGAGTGAAAGGAGTGTGGACAGAACAACACACAAACATAAACATCAGAGCGGAGCCAAAAACAAAACCAAAACCAAAACCCTCTTACTTCTCTTTCTTTTCTTCTTCCCTTCTCTCCCTTCGAAGTCCATGAAAGACCAGTGATACGACACCGTCTAATCAAGAGAGGAATTATGGCTCAGAAGCCTCACTTGCTACTCAAGGAGCTGGGATCCAAGCTCGAGACCCTTCCCACCTCCAAAGACGCTCTCGTCAAGCTCTTGAAGGTTTGCATTCCTCCTTCAATTCCCAATTCTCCCTCTTCCCCACCGTTTAAAACCTCCTCATTTTGTTTCGCCTTTTGCAATTGAGGACTTTCTTCTCTCTTTTCTGTTCCTTATATCCGTTGCTCTCTGTTTGGAAATTAGAGGAGACTAGACTCACAAATTTTTTTTGAGCCGATTTCTGTTTTTAGCAGAATAGGATTTATTTTACCTTTAATGCCTTCAATTTGGTGGGCTTTGTTTCCGCTGAATTTACTGCTTTAAGATGTTCTTTAATTGAGAGGAACAATTAGTAGATTTACTATGCCTGAGTTTGGAGATATTTATGATGATTTGGATGAGAATCTTCCCAGTTAGGGTAACTTTCGAATGGTTGTCGATGAGTTTTTGAATCTGCGCGCTAACATCGGAGAAGCTGTTAAACAGGGCGTTTGGTTATCTTGTGCTGTAGTTTATTCATAACGAGTTGACTATATTTTGAATAATGATGATACCGATTAAAACTAAATTGACGTTTACACTTATTTCTTCCTATTTTGCAACATTCATGTCTTTGATTTAGAAATGAATGGAAGGAAAGAAGTAGGACTAGGAAGAACAAGTGTAAATGAGGGATTGAAACATTCATGTTCATCTGCATTTGAGATTGAAGGGGCTGCTTACTTGAGTAGGATAATTAGATCAAATAGAAAGTCTTTTAATCAAATAGCAAAGATGAAGATTAGACTGTGATTTGTGACTAATGATTTGATATATGTTCAAATACTACTGTTAAGTTTTTCCTATGGATGTAGTCTAAAGAAAGTAGTTTGTCATAAAGCTACCAAGCATTTGGTTTTTGTAATTGCTAATCCCCCTCACCCCTCAATATTTTTCCCATATGCAGCAAGCAACCCCATGCCTTGCTGAGTTGGACCAGTCACCTTCGACATCAACATTGGAGTCAATGAAGCCTTTTTTTAATGCAATTGTTAGGCCAGAATTGCTGAAGCACCAAGATAGGGATGTCAAGCTTCTAGTCGCAACATGTGTTTGTGAGATAACTCGGATCACTGCACCTGAAGCTCCTTACAGTGATGAAATTCTAAAGGTTCCTTTCATATACTCATATTATCTAATTCTAGTTTGTCTTCTATTTACTACTAAAAAATACAACGTTTCGCTTTCTATTTCAGCCTCAAAAAATTTTGGGAACATAATTTACGATGATCCATTTTCCTGATCTTTGTTAAACCTCCTTGCAGGATATCTTTCACTTGATTGTGGGCACTTTTAGAGGTCTAAGTGATACCAATGGTCCATCCTTTGGCCGGAGAGTTGTCATATTGGAGACTCTGGCAAAATATAGATCATGTGTTGTGATGTTGGATCTTGAATGCAATGATCTAGTGAATGAAATGTTCAGTATTTTCTTCGCGGTTGCCAGGTTAGTTTATCATAAAGTGTTTATTGAATTATGTGATGTCTGTCAATTTTAAGAGTAACAAATGTGAAATTCCTACTGCAAGTTTCTGCTTCTCACTGTCAAGATTACAAACTATATAATTTGTAGTATTTTATTTTTTGTGGCTCATTTTTTTCTCTTTGCCCATCATACAGTAATGAGAAATGAACTAAAGATAATTTGACAAACTATACATCTTTGTGTCCTTGGAATTTGAAAGTTTTGAGAGGCAAAAATGATGTCTTGCTATGTAAACAGTCCACCTAGTTGGATAAGAGTTGATTGTTGTTGTTGAAACTTTAAAGCTTTACACGCTTAGGTGAGAATTAAGAAGATATGACTTAGCCATTTTTTTGTATGTCAGTTTTTCTATGATTATTCCTCTTGGTATTAATGATGGTGCATATATATTTTTTTTATGCTTAGAGATGATCATCCAGAAAGTGTTCTGTCATCCATGCAAACTATAATGGTGGTTCTCTTAGAAGAGAGTGAGGATGTGCGTGAGGATCTTTTATCTATTCTACTGTCTAAATTAGGTCGTGAAAAAAAAGTAAGTATTTGTTTCATAAACTAATTTTCCTGTTAAAGGAAGCTAGCTGATTCTCTTATTGCTCTAATATCATTCAAAATCTTGATGATGTGGATATTTAATTCCAGGCTGTTAATATGGCTGCAAGGAGGCTTGCTATGAATGTTATACAGCAATGTGTAGGAAAACTTGAACCCAGCATCAAACAATTTTTGCTATCATTCATGTCTGGAGATAGCAAGCTGGTCGGCAATCAAGTGGAATACCATGGAGTTATCTATGATCTGTATTGCTGTGCTCCTCAGATCCTGTCTGGAGTTCTCCCCTATGTCACTGGAGAGCTACTGGTAATTAATAATTTAGTTATCTTTCCTGAATGATGTTAGAGTGATAGATACCGGTTCAGAGAATTGGGATTAATAGGAGAAAGAAAAAAGATTATTGTTGAACAGACTCCTTCTCTGGATGAGAGGAACCCAAATTTAAAAGAAGGAAACTTTTGGCAGAATATTATGGGGATTTGAGAGTCTGGTTTCTCCCCACAACATGATAACCACCTAGTTGCTTCCCTTTCCTTTTCTGTCTCTCTATAAAAGCCTAATTAATTAACTGCTATGTCAGGAAGCCAGGATGACCACCATTATGAAATTTATAGATGTAAATTAAATAATTAATAATAAATATGTAAATGTTCAAATAAAAAATTATCTAAAAATAAAGTCATTCATAATTAATTATTAAAACTCATAATTTTAAACCTATCATAGAAATAGAAATAAATAACAAGGCATGGGAGATTTGAGAATGCGTAGGGCATGAATGAGGGAATCATAAAATTAGGGTTGGTTTGCAAAGTTGAGATGCAAAGCCTGACCCATAAAACCTGGCCAAAATCAGCACACAAAGCAGAGTTGCAGATGGCCCGAGACCAGAATGCAGTTGCAGATTGCTGAAATCAGCCCACAAGGCAGAGGCACAGATGGCAGAAGTCAGAATTCTGAACATGGAAAGAGAAGGTGGAAAGTAGAGAGATTCTCAAAGTCAGAATTCGCAAACAGAAGGCAGAGAGTATATATTGAGAACAAGGAGTGAAGGGGTGGGGGAGATTTGAGAGTGCTGTGAGGGAGAGACCACGAGGGTAGGGCATGAATGAGGGAATTATAAAATAAGGGTTGCTTTGCAAAATCAAGAATCAAAATCCTACCTGTAAAGTTCAGTTGCACAAACCAAATTTACTTGCAAAAGATTGCTGATCCCATGATCCTATGAAGAAGATCAATGATTTCATTCTGATCATACCAATTTAGTGTTATGGCTCAGTTTCGGCATGTAAGAGTCCTTAAAAACTTGCATGATCTGCGATTTTACTATCTTACTTTTGACGTTGACAACTTGTGCGTGACAACCAATTTATTAAAATTAGACACTATGGCTTCCCCATAGCTGCTGCTTCTGTCATAGTGGTTGCATGCTATTAAGAAATATACTGACAAGGACCAACTAAATGGGCCCATCCTTATTTATCCTGCTATACACCTTCCTAATTGGGTTGGATACTAACATTGATGGCCCATATCTTTTTGAGCAGTGCCATTTCTTTCCATTATAATAACCTTTATTGCTATTGTAAACAATTTTTTGGGTTTAATTTATGTTATACTTTGTGGAGGTTCTGAATTTTGTAAAGAATGAAGTTGTAATATTAAAGTCACATTAATATTTTTATTTCTCATTTATTTTGTTCATGGGTTTAGCAAAATAGTCTGGATTCTCACTTGTAATTTGGAATTTGTAGACTGACCAGCTGGAAACCCGTTTGAAAGCTATGAACTTGGTTGGAGACATAATTTCCCTTCCTGGATCTTCCATTCCTGAAGCATTTCAGCCTATATTTTCAGAATTTCTGAAGAGGTTGACTGATAGAGTTGTTGACGTCCGGATGTCTGTCCTTGAGCATGTAAAGAACTGTCTGCTGTTAAATCCTTTCAGAGCTGAAGCTCCTCAAATAATATGTGAGTGCATTAAATACATGTTCATATATTTTGTCTTTTCTTTGTTTCCTTTTATTGTTGCCCTGCATCTGCTGATTTTAATTGAATCAAACTTAGCTGCCCTTTGTGAACGGCTGCTGGATTTTGATGAAAATGTTCGAAAACAAGTTGTGGCTGTTATCTGCGATGTGGCATGTCACACCCTAAATGCTGTTCCACTTGAAACTGTGAAACTTGTTTCAGAACGGCTTCGTGATAAATCTGTATGTATACCTTTTAAATGTTTCTTTTTGTTCTATATTTTAATTAACTATTTGATAAATTCAACTGCTGTATTCAATTCATTATTTTGCTTTGCATGTGCAGCTACTTGTTAAAAAGTATACAATGGAAAGATTAGCTGAAGTGTATAGAGTTGTTTGTGAAAAGAGCAGTGACACCATCAATCCTGATGATTACAACTGGATTCCTGGGAAAATCCTTAGATGTTTCTATGACAAAGATTTCCGGTGAAACACTTGTGCTATATTCTTTATAAACTTTGCCCTTATTTGCATCATCATCATATTTATTCTTTAATATAGTTTTGTGTTAACAATAAAGTTAGCGGCCCCCTTTTCTTGAAAATTTATTTTAGAGGCCAATTTTACTAAAATGAATTATTTTTATTAAATAAAATAAAATATTTATTTAATCCAACTAAGGCCATGTTCTCTGAAGTTTGATTACCTCAGGTTCTAGTAGAAAATTGAGAAGTTTTATCACTTGAGGTGAGGGCCCATTAATTATAATACCATGTGAAATGTGTATGTTTGTATTAATTTATCAATCCATTCTTCTATATGAGTAATGTTTTATTTTGAAAAAGCAGAGAGAGAAGATAACAATTTAAATAATTATCCACCACAAATACATATATTCTAAGGTCACATATACATTTCAAATATATTTTAGGTCCTCGGATACATGACTCAATCTCAAACTGGTTCGGATATGATTTTTTTCTTTTTAAATTTAGCCCCCTACTTGCGATTGTTTCCAATTCGGTCTATACTGTATGTTGTATACTTTTGTTTAAGTTGCAATCTGATTATAGTGCTGGGTACAGTGGGAGAGCCAAATACATCTCTCACTGTAGGAGAGTAATTACATCCATTAGATTACTAATTATTTATTTAACAACTGATATCTTTTCTTTTTACTCTATTTCCTTTGTCCTTACTACCCCTGTCTCTTTCCTGGTCTTGTAACTCATGCTTCCAACTTCTTGATGTTTGATTGGACATAGTGCTTACTGCTGCTGGCTTCAATGTTGCATTGACACCTTCGATAAACCATTGGTCCACTGCTTAAATGCTCCTTCCTCTTTCTTTTCTTTCTTAGAACATGGAAGCAATACAATTAGAGAAGAGAGAAATTATTGTTGTAGTGGACATTGTTGGTTTGTCTCTACGAAAACTAAGAAGAATGGAAACTTTGTGTTGCCAAGATAAACTTCATTCCTCTTGGCATCCTCCATACAAATATAATCATTAAATTAATGAACCCATGTAATGTGTAATTAGTTGAAGGGATTTACTTATAGAGAAAAAGAGATAAATAAGTATAATGTGTGTGCAAATTAAAGCTTGGGGTTGGGGGCTAGCAGTTGAATTTGAAATTGGAAGCGTTTGGTAAATGGTAAATCTAGATAATGGAAGTGAGAGTGGTGGAAGGTGTGCTCAGAATTAACTCATGTGAACACCATGCGAGTTAATGCTCTCATGGTGGAGGAGGGTGCCCTCAGAATTAATTCCACTGCCGCTGTGTTTGGCCTTCATGATCAACTGTGCTTCTGGCTAAGTTGCTGCTGAGGTTCCAGAATCTTTAGAGACACAATGGGTTCAAGGTGAAGCCCGTGCTTGTTGACAAAGTTGAGATGTTTGGTTCCATGCTTGGTGGAGTAGTTGAGCAGTGGTGATTATTGGAGGCTTCAGTGGACGAAGGAGTGTGTCTACGTATAACTACTGCCCTGGTTACAAAGAAGGAAGCGGAAAAGAAACTAGGGAAGAGAGAGATTTAGAAAGGGAAAAAGAGTAAAAGAAATGTTATCAGCAGTTAATTAAATAATATATCTAAGGGATGTGAATTACTTTCCCACAGTGGAGTCTGATTCACTCTCCTATTAGCAACAAATTCAAAAGGATTGTCAAGTATAGTCACTGGAATACATAATCTAGTCCCTATACATAAAATGCTTTTCAATTAGGTATGTATTCTTCACAGTTTGTTCATACCTGTTAAGGTTCCAACATAAAACCAATTGGCAATATGTGGAGTAGCCTAACATGTATTTAAACCATACCAAATGATATGAGGTAGGCGATGTGGGACTTTCAACACACCCCCTCCAACGAAGCCTGCCGGACCAGGCAAATGATACTTTTGACCCAACTAAAGGGCAACTTTTGGCCCATGACAATAACCGGAAAGATGTTAGGCTTTGGCTCTGATACCATGTTAAGGTTCCAACATAAAATCAATTGGCAATATGTGGAGTAGCCTAACATGTATTTAAACCATACCAAATGATATGAGGTAGGCGATGTGGGACTTTCAACAATACCAATCTCACAATTTTATCACAACAGATGATGGAAACAAAACGAAAATGATTGTACATGTAAGGTCTAAGTTGAAAAGTTTTTGTCATGTAGGGCCCAATTTATAAATTAGTGTCTTGTATGGGGATTTATTATAAGCTTTATATGTCATACTGGTCATCCATTTGGTAATATTTCTTTAGTGTACTTCCTCAACCCTATATCTGAGCTTGAATCTCATACACGCAAACAAAAAGTATATTTGATAAAGCACAAACCTCAGTTTTTGTCATATTAAATTAGTCTATAGTTGAGTTTTAAATTCAATCTATAGTGAGTGTAAAAATTGCTCAATCATTAGAGGAGAATGACCTCCATTTTAGTTGTAGGGACTTATGCAAATCAAACTTCTATAATAGTTTGGCTATGCATTTGATGATACTATACATAAACTTAAGACAACAGGGGATTAAAATAAATTTTTTAGTATATATTCTGTATTTTCATATTGATTATAATATGGATTTATTTTAATTTATTTAGTTTTGTATATATTCATTAAAAATTATTATTCCTTTCAAAAAAAGATCTTGTGATTCTTAAAATCTGTGCTGTACTAGGGTCCAAATTACCTACTATGGCAGTCTATCTTAGTGTCACATAAGGTCAATGGTTTCCATGTTGTAGTTTGTTGCCTTGGGTTTTTTTGGTCAATACTCGATGGCATAACTTGTTCAAGTTTCTGCAAACTTTTTCAAGTACAAAATTAGTTTTCTATTTGTGTTTTTTATAGCATTAGAGTGGTTCTAATCATTGGTGTTTCTCTTTTTCATTTCTTTTTGCAGATCTGATATCATTGAATCTGTTCTATGTGGTTCGCTGTTTCCTGTGGAATTTTCAATCAGTGTTATTGTTAAACATTGGATTGGAATTTTCTCTGGATTTGATAAAGTAGAGGTAAAAGCTCTTGAAAAAATACTGGAGCAGAAACAAAGGTAAGTTTTGTATTTTTTGGTGATGGGCAGAGATGGCTTATACAACTCTGGTGTCTCAACATCAGTGAGTTAAAAAAGCTTCCTTTTAACTATACCTCTTTGGTAGCAGGATACAACAAGAGATGCAGAAGTATCTGTCTTTGAGGCAGATGAGTCAGGTATTTGACATTGGAGATTGGAATGAAATTCTAAAACGAATTTTGATGACAAACAAATTGATTCTCATTTAAATGCAGGATAAAGATATTCCAGAGGTGCAAAAGAAGATTCTTTTCTGTTTCAGAGTAATGTCCCGTTCATTTGCTGACCCCATAAAAGCTGAAGAGAGTTTCCTCATTCTGGATCAATTGAAAGATGTTAATATCTGGAAGATTTTGACGAATCTTGTTGATCCAAATACTAGCCTACATCAAGCTCGTACCTACCGGGTAGAATAACCAATAGCTGATATATATGTTTTTGGGGGTACTTATTTGGGAAACCATGGTTTCCAATTGTATGTGCATGTCTTTGAAGATTTGAGAACTAAAATATTTGAACTCAGTGCTCAGTTCCTGTGTTATATATCATTTGCCAGCTTCCCATGAAATCGAGTGACCATTTTCTCCATGTATCTGTTTGATTTCGATCCTTTTTTGGCCCTGTCATGACTTATTACCATAGATTTTACTGGCAATAGACTATGCCCTTCATATGTTTTTACATTTTTTCGGCTATGAATCTGATTAATTGTTCATTTACTCTGCCTCTGGGTACTACTTTACTAGCCTTTGTAAACATAGTAATCTAGTGCTAACCTTCATTATATAATGCATACTCTATTTAGTCTAATATTCTTTGAATGATGCCACAACCAACATAACTGCTCTTTTGGCATCTAGCTAAACTACACTTAAATACAAGCAATTTAATGAGATTCAGAGCTTGATATTGATATGGCATACGTCTGTCTATGTTTATTTTTTCTTGAAGCTGTTATGATCATTTCTTATATGTGCCAATAAGAGGAAGCTGCATACATTCAGTACCATAATTCCAAACAGATATTTACTTTTAGGGGGTCTATGATAAAGATCAATATAAGAAGTTTCGACATTTAAAATATAATGTCATTCTTATGATTCTGATAAACATTATCTTATTTTTATTTTCTTGAAAGAAAGAAAAAAGTTGTAGCTTGCAGTTTATTCTTTACTGATTTTTCATATCTTCTTGTTTGTTTGCAGGATGATTTACTTAAAATACTTGGCGAAAAACATCGTCTCTATGAGTTTTTGAATACCTTCTCTGTGAAGTGCTCTTATCTGCTTTTTAACAAGGAGCATGTAAAAACAATTCTTCTAGAAACTACAGTTCAAAAATCTGCTGAAAATGCTCAGCATACACAATCTTGCATGAATATATTGGTGGTAAGAACATGCCACTTGGCTTTGATTTTTGCACTGTTATTTAACATTTGTCTGTGAATTATTAGCAAATACCTCAGCTTTTGCTTGTAATGATTGCAAAGCAAAGCAAGAATTTACGTCTTTGCTTGATTCTGGTTGATTGGAATTAGTAGTTATTGTGTCTGTCAAGTTCCAACTGATTCCATGAGCTTAAGTTGTTAGGAGAGTGCCTAGGAATTGTGAAATACTTCAAGCTGTGTGTGGAAAAAGCTCAAACCCACAATTTCAGTGGGATGAATTTAATTTATTTTAGAATGGAGGTGTTATGGATGGAACTTTTGGCCTTGGAGAGGATGCCTAGAATCAGTTCATCCTAATTGTTTAAGCTGATAGGAGAGAGATCGGTAACGGTTTTCCTTAAGTGTCACATAAGTGACGGTTGTTTTTATTTTTTAGTATCTTATCCAATAAGTTAGTGTTATATAACTCTGCTATCAAGCATCTGTGTTGCTTGAGTCACTTTGGACATATAATTAAGAATACTAAAGCAATATCTTTAATTTTTTGGGTTGACTTTAAATTGCAGATAATTGCCCGTTTCAGTCCATTGCTCCTCCGCGGCAGTGAGGAGGAGCTGGTGAATTTACTGAAAGATAATAATGACACAATCAAGGAAGGTGTTCTAAATGCTTTAGCAAAGGCTGGTGGTACTATTCGTGAACAACTTGCACTCACATCAAGGTGCTACTGTTGACATTGTTAACATTTTAAATGCATTTCCATGTGTAGTGTTCTTACCATCTCCTTGTTTCATGCAGTTCTGTAGACCTTATATTGGAGAGACTATGCTTAGAAGGCAGTCGAAGGCAGGCAAAATATGCTGTCCATGCACTGGCTGCAATAACAAAGGATGATGGCCTCAAGTCTCTCTCTGTTCTATACAAGGTATCATCTAGTTTATTCATTTATTTTATACGCATTTAATTACTCTGATTTTTGTGAGAGGATGAGCTTTGGCATGATGGTAATGTTGCTGTCAATTCAAATCCTAGAGACATACTCTCTGCTTTCAGTGATAAGATTGGCTACATCTACCCTATCCAAACCCACGAGAAGGGAGCCTTGTGCAATTTGTTGCCTTCATTCTGATTCTTCTGGTTGCCTTATGTGCAGAAACTTGTAGATATGCTGGAAGATAAAACACATCTGCCTGCAGTTCTTCAGTCTCTGGGGTGTATTGCACAGACAGCAATGCCTGTCTATGAAACCAGAGAGAAGGAAATTGAAGAATTTATACTAAATGAGATTCTGAAAAGTGATAATGTAAGCCTTTCAAATCCATTTTGAATGGTGTACTTTTTTATGAAATAACCTTTATAATAATTGATTTTCATCAAAATTTGTTTTCTATTTCAGAAAGAGGATAACCCGAAAACCTCTTGGGATGGTAAAAGCGATCTTTGCATGTTGAAGGTTAGTATGATGAACAGTCAACTATGTTTAAGATACTTTAGGTTATGATTTGATACATAAGAAAATGCTTGTAAGTTGGCTTCCTTTTTTGACATCTTATTCTCTCTATTTCTCATTGTGCCCTGTTGTTTTTCTTTCTTTGCTGCAGATATATGGCATTAAAACATTTGTGAAGAGTTACTTGCCAGTCAAAGATGCTCATGTTCGTCCAGATATTGACAGGATTCTGGATATACTTAGGAATATTTTACTATATGGTGAAATATCAAAGGATCTAAAATCAAGGTATATATATCAGCTTCAGAGTTATATTTTATATATTAAATTAAATTTTTAAATTGGACAGTAGGTTTAAATACTATGTACTCATTTATGCTTACTTGCAGTTCAGTTGATAAGGCCCATTTGAAGCTTGCTTCTGCAAAGGCAGTTCTCCGTTTGTCAAGACTTTGGGATCACAAGATACCTGTTGATCTTTTCCACTTAGCTTTAAGGGTGTCTGAGGTGGGCTGGTTCTTCTGTTTACTAAATTTCTTCTGGGGTATTTATTGGTTTTTCTTTGCATTATTATCAAGATAAAAGGTTACTTACTCTTGTTTATATTTAAAGGGATTTGTTAATTTTTTAAAATTTTCGTTTAAATGTGGGAATAACTGCTTCTCATGCTCTTCTTTTGAGTTTTCTAGGTTAGTTTCCCTCAAGCTAAGAAGATTTTCTTGAGTAAAATTCACCAATATATCAAAGACCGCCTTTTGGATGCCAAATATGCATGTGCTTTCTTATTTAACATATTTGGGTCCAAACCAGATGAGTTTGTAGAGGTAAGTTGTTGATTGCTTTTTTTTTTTTTTTTTTTTTCGAAATTAAAAAATTTCTTTGCTTAACATCAATTTTGTGTTTGTGTGATAACCCCTTTGTGTTAATGCAGGATAAACAGAACCTGGCTGACATTATTCAAATGCACCACCAATTGAAGGCACGCCAACTTTCTGTGCAAACAGATGCAAATTCCTTGACTACTTACCCTGAGTACATTCTTCCATACCTAGTTCATACACTTGCTCACAATTCATGTCCCAACGTTGATGAGTGCAAGGATTTTGAAGCATATGATGATATATACCGGTATCATTCTTACCTACATTAGACATCTGTATGCTGGATGCAGTATCTGGATACTCTTTTAATAGTATGTGAAAAGAGATGATACTGTTGAGTTTATTTGGGATTGAACAGTTCTTCTAGCTTCTTTCTGGTTTTTGGCTAATGGTCTTTTTAGAAGTTTGCCTTTGACAGATCTACAGTGAGATTTCTGTGTTGTGCATGTTTCTTGGTCTTTGTTTTCTTCTGCTTTGTGATTTCTTTCATTCTGGTGCTTTTGTTATCCTCTTACATTTGTGTCTTCCTCTTAATAAGTTTTATATTTATTACAAAGGTTGTGAAAAGATTCAAAAGAGGGATCTAGAAAAGAAGAGTTGGAGGAGCTTTAGTTTACTTTTGGTAATTCATAAATGTTAGTGCTATTTCTAAATATTTTATGACATTCATGCATAAAATGTTGGTATTTGACTTTAAATATGAAAGATACGAAGAATGCCACATTCTCATTAAATTGAGGCCATTTTAAAAGTTTTCCTTTATGCATATACCAAACTGCACTGCATTATTTTACATACTAAGATAAGTTTATATGTTATAAGAATCTCAGTTTGGTGCCTCAGGTTCCTTGAATGTGTATGTAGTAGATATAACCAGTCTGAACACATTTTTGAATGTCCCGCACTTTCATGTTAGGGTTTGATGCCTACTTGCCTCTGTTTGAAAGTTTTTGTATTTTTGAAATGTGAATGAGGAATGCAACTGGGCTTATGCCTACAAATTTATCCAACCTCAAAATGTAATAGGTTGAAATGCTTATTGTTTCTGATTTCATATTTTTGTTATGAATTTTCAGGCAGTTTCACTTAATTCTGTCAATGCTACTGCAAAGAGATGAAGATGTCAAATCAGAAATAACTACTGACAAAGAGAAGGAAATTATATCTACTATAGCTTGTATCTTTCTTAGTATAAAGCATTCTGAAGATATGGTTGACACGTCGAAGTCAAAGGTTGAAATTAAATTATTTTTTCCCTAACATGTTATAAATTGAAAATGTGTGTTTAGAGACTGTAATCTAACATCTTTTATCAATGACTATCCAGATTTCCCATGCATTATGTGACCTTGGTTTAGCAATAACCAAACGCTTAGTGCAGAAGGATGTTGATTTGCAAGGATTGTCGCATTTGGTTTCTCTACCTCCAATGCTATACAAAACATCCGAGAAGGAAGGAGATGACACTGGGGTATCCTTATTTTTTGTCAAATTTTGTTGTTCCTTCCAGTGTGCTTATTATTCTTGTTCATAATGTTCAAAGTGCTTTTGAACTGAGACAGTTTCATAGCCATCGGAGTTGCTTGCACCATATTAACTTAATCTACTGATTATAAATTTCATCAAATCATTTTAAATGTATGTACCTTAAGTTGTAGACATGATACTTTGAATCAACATTTGGTCTTTGATTAATAAAATTTGCATGATGCCTGAAATTCACCACGTACACTTGGGTGATTTTGTTATATTGCCTACCAATCAAATCTTGTTATTGCTTGATGGGTGTGATTAGCGTGGTTTTGTGTAGGGTCTTTCCTTAACAGGCAATGAAGTTGATTCATTCATGAATATTGATTGACACAGTTTCATGATTCTTCCGTACAAGTAAAATCTAGTCTACTGAGTAACCTAAAAGAAAATATCAGTTATTGAAATTGTCTTTTCCTTGAATCAGCTAACAGTATTACTATTTTTAACATTTATTATTAGATCTTGGAATACTTTAATTCAAATTGTGCTTATTAATGCCTCTGAAATATTGGCAGGTAACTGAAGTTAAAAGTTGGTTGGCTGATGAAAATGCCTTGACTTACTTTGAATCTCTTGAACTAGAAATGGTATGTTAAATGCAGTTAGAAAGTGACGTGACAACTATCATTGTTTCATAAATCTTGAACTGTATGAGTTTTCTTTTTATGTCAGGTTCATTCCCAATCAGCAGAGAATGAATCTTCAAAGGATGATGAAAAAGACGTAAATGAAATACCACTTCGAAAGATGTTAAAGCACGTAAAATCTCAAGGAACCACTGGCAAAAAGGTGAAAAGGAATAAGTCTGTGCCAGCGGAAACAAAAAAAGCTGAAAATGATTTTGACATCTTAAATATGGTCAGACAAATTAATGTGGATAACTTAGGGACGTCTTCTAATTTGGAACCAAGTAATGGTCATGAAAATTCTTTGAGTAAGAAGGATCCAGAGTCTGCACCTGGTAAAAAGAGAAAAGCTAGAGAAACAACACCTGTTCCAGTGCCTAAACGTCGGCGGTCTTCATCTACTCATGGAAAATTGAGATTATCAACTAGTATATCAAAGGCATCTCGAAGAGTTTCAGGTGAAGGATCCCCTCAACCCAAATTTCTACTGGATGAAGAAGCTAACCCTGATGCAGATAGCAAAACCATCCAGAGAACAATGGTCAAAGGCAGTGAAAAAGATTTGTTATTATCCTCATTAAAACAAAAGGTTAAAGGTTCTGAAGGTTACCATAATGATGAGTTGAACAAACCTGATGAGCATGACATGATGGTATACAATCTTAATGTCAACTATATTTATGCTAGTGTGGATGTAATAAATTAATGCTGTACACTTCTGCTTATTATTTTTTATTATTTGTTGCCTCTGTTACAGAGTCCTGATAGTATACAACTGAGTGATAAGACTGTAAGTAACATTAACAAGCCTTCCATAGGGTCAACTAAAAAGGGTAAAAGAAAAAGTATCGCAGGAATGGCTAAGGTAAGCTCTATTTACTAGCTTTCTTCTTAATCATCGTGCGTGGTTCTTTTATGCTCCTCCCAAATCCCCCTCTACCCACCTTATCTATTTTATAATTGTTTCGTGCAAATATCTTGGAATACATAGTTTGATGATTTGATTTGATTTACCATGTGCAGTGCACGACAAAGGGAGATGAAATTGATACTGAAGATCTAATTGGTTGCAGAATTAAAGTTTGGTGGCCTATGGATAAGAAGTAAGTGCTAATGATAAATTTTATAGGGATCAGTTGCTGAATCAAAATAAATTAGCTTTGGCTATTAGGGAGCACATGAAATTTTAAGCTTTGTTTGAATAACCTTTTCTACCAACTCTCACAGGAGAGGAGAATAAGAAGGAAAAATGAAATAAACTTCTCCCATAAGTTATAATTAGATTATATAGAAGTTAATTTGTTCAAAGTTTTTCAATTTAGCTTCCTCCAGAAACTGAATTTTACTTATCTCTAAGCTAATTTTCGTTTACGGGAGAAATTTGTTTCATTTTTCTTTTTTATTTTCTTTTATTAAGTATTTGTGGACAGTTTTATCTAAGCGGGGCCTTTAAAGCTTTTTTAACGCATTTTTGAATATAATTTGCCTTGCAAATTCTAGTGCTCCTTCTGGATGCTGCTTTTTATATTTCTTAGTCTTCGTGCTGAATCTTTCGTATTAACTTATGCTAAATTCTATCTGGCTCTTTATCTGACATATTTTCCCCTAAATTTATTATTTTATTCCCTCGTCTTAACTTAATTTCTAATTGGAGTGCTCATGTTGGTGTTTTTGCTGTTCTGTAGATTTTATGGAGGCACCATTAAGTCCTATGATCCTTTGAAAGGGAAGCACGTGGTAAGCTGAATGAATGATCCTGAACTTGCCCTTAGAATTTGGGACACTGTTTTTCTTCGTACTGTCTGTAACTATTACTTACAATCATGAAACAATGTTATTGTGTCATGTCATGCAAAGATATTATATGAAGATGGAGACGTTGAAATACTCCGTTTGGAAAAGGAGCGCTGGGAGCTTATTGACAAGGGCCGCAAATCTACCAAGGTCTCTGGTTTTCCTTTACTTCTCTTCCTTTCTCTGAAGTAATTTTATATTTTTTATTTCCAGTAAAATATATTAGTCACCATTAAAATCTGAATATCTGATATATTTCCTTTTTAAATTTCTTTCCAGAAGATGAAACTATCTTCACTTGAAGCGTAAGTATCCTTGGCATATTGATTTTTATTTTGGTTGGTTTTCCTAAATACATAGTCATAAATAGGTTTGTAACTTGTAACATTTAGAAAACGAAAAAGATAATGAATACATGTGTGTGGTCTCCTTTTTATTTTACTAATTTTCTTGATTACTTTCTTTTCGTACTCTGCAGTTCTGGGCAAAAGCACAAAGGTTCAAGTGGCTCATCAAGAAGTAAAAAGGCAAAACAAATGTGAGTGGTGGAATCAGCAATCCTAATTGCACATCTGTGATTTTGCTTTATGCTATATTTATTATAATTTGTATACGTTTTTTCCCTTATAGAACCAATGGTAAGCAATCTCCCAACAGACCTGTAAAACGTGCATCAAAAAATAATTTCCATCGTGAGGATGCCAAAGAGACTTCAGAGATATCAAATGCTGAAGTGACCACAGCCTCTAAGGCCAATGAGATGTACTCAGGTAATATATCTTAAAAGACATTATATGGTTGAATGTTAAATATGCTAATTTGCTTTGGAAATGAATATTATACGTATAATATCTCAACTGCAATCAACTGCGGTGACTATGATTCCTCACTGTTAGTAATATTCATGATCAACAATATATCACGGTAGTTAGTATCACGAGATACGATACTAATGATTTGACATGGTTCAGAAGCCTGATGATGTGCTTCGTAATAAGTATTGTTTATGTATTGAATCATTTACTGTATCACATGAATCGTGATCTCCAAGCGAGTCTCACTATTCTGGCACAGTGGTGCTAGATACTTTGCGTGTTTCAGTGGAACGCAAGTGCCACAATGATGTTGTGGAGTCTCCGATGACATTGTGAAGTCTGCAACGAAGGCAATCACAGCTGCCTTATGCGTTGCAGGTTTGAACTGTGTCCTAGGCTTGCATCCTCATCAAGGGTGTTCCGAAGAATTGCAAACGTTGAATCCAGCTAGTGGATGAGGGATTGAAGGCAGCATTTAGGGCTTAGGTAGGAAGAAAAGATAAAGAAAAAAAAAACTGGGTCAGGTGGTAATTGGACTGCAACTTTAAACTTCAAAGCCCAGCAAATAGTGTAGAGTCTTCTTTTGGAAAGATAGCTTAGAGTTAGAATTATGTTATGATATATTTGTTTTCATATTTCATGTTTCTTTATGTTAAAATGATTCTAAAGACATGTTTCTTTAGTTATTGATAATATATATACATGCACACACACATATATATATATAAAATATATATATATATATATATATATATATATATGTATGTATGTATGTATGTATGTGTGTGTGTATATATATTTTGTTGATCATGAATCTTACTATTCACATACGGTTCACGCTTTAAAAAATAGGCTTTTCGATTCATACTTTATATCCCGATTCAACTGCCTTGGTTAAGACTTGTGCTTTATATTTGTTTCCACTTTTTTTTTAAACAAATTTTCTTTTCAAGGTGGTTCAGAAGAGGAATTGACTGTAGGGTTTGAGGAAATTACGACAACGGAGAATAAATCTACCAAACATACAAAATCAGGTTCCAGAGGAAAGAGGCTAAAGAAAGAGAAGAACTTTCATTATACAGAAGAATCGGATGAAGAGAAGAAGCAGAATTATGGTGAGAGGATTTCTGAAGAGAAAGAGAATGTCCCACATGGTAGTTCTGAAGAGAGAGAATTGGATGAATCAAGTGGAGCTTTGAGGGAAAATATTAATGGAGAAGAAGTATCAGATTCCGAAGGGCATCAGGATAACAGCGATGCTGGAAGTAGTGCTAGAGAAATGGAGAAATCACGTATAAAGAAGTCAAAAATCAAAGCTGAGATTTCTGATGACGTGCCTCTGGTAAATAACTCCGCCATTGCAGCACTCATGTTATTTTAGGATTCGTTCTAAGCTCATTACTTGATATTTGATTGATGCAGAGTAAATGGAAACGCAGGATGGGGAAGAAAAGCTCACTGAAAGAACAATGAGGAGTTTAGCTGTTGTGATTTGTCTGTCAAGATTGCAACGGAGTTGATGCTGTAGTACAAGTACAGGTGTTAGCGTGAATGATGACTGCACTGCCAAATTGGAGATCTTTTAGTTTTTAACACTAATAAATATGCTTAGCATGTCTTGAAGCCACCCTGTAGAGTATAAAATAACAGCAGTCATCCCCATGTTTATAAGGAAAAAATCTTAACACTTTTGGGTTCTTTAGAACTATGTTCTTGCTAAATGACCTTTAATTAGTTCAGGGGATAGGTTTAGCACATGAATATGATTTATGTAGGTGTCGTTCATCCTTCCAACAAAATTGATATAATTGACTCGGTTAATCAACAATGTGTACAGCTATACGTGAGGATAATTATATTTGTATCTTTAGGACTTCATCATATTTGTACTTCTCGCCAGATCCAATTGAAAAAGGTGACCTCACCATCCTGTTCTTAATATATATTTAAACCAGTTGCACTGAAATCGTGAGGAGTACAAGGAGTTTTACTAAATCACCCAAAATGAGTAAATTATCCCAAGGCTGTATTGGATACCATTAAACCATTTTTGACTTAGCAAGATCTTGTAGAATGTTTAATTTTGGCATGTGTTTGTTTGAGGAGTCACTTTGTGAGATTTTAAGCGGAGACTGAGGTGGCATATGTGCTCTCAGACTTTTAACATGTACCTTAAAAATGAGGGTGCAAACATGTACATTCAATTTATGACTAATGATTTGGTATAAAATTGTTTTACATCTCTAGACATCCTTTTTTTTTTTTCTTCTCTGGACTCATTTGGTTTCATACCTTAAAAGAGGATATTTAGTCCTTTAATTTTTTGACATCATGTTTGTTAAGTGACTATCTTACTTTAAAAAATGAGAGCTAAATTAAAAAAAAAAAGAATATTCTAGAATTAGGAAATGAAAATGTTTTATGACTATTTAGTTACCTCTTTTTAAAACGATAGGTGAAATTAAAAAAAATCATGATACTTTGAGGGAAGAAAAACAAAGCTTTAAAAAGAGTTTTTTATTTTTTATTTTTACCTTTCACTCTAATTATGAAATTAATCATTTTGTTCCTGAGTTTAATATTTTTTATTTTTTAACTTTTTGTCCAAAATAAAATGTTATTTAATGGATAAAATTAATAGAAGAAAATAGATAACTATAACAATTAGTAAACCATTGTATCTTTTTTTTACACAATTTTTTATAATTTTATCCATAAAATTATGATAATTATGTTTATTGTGTGAGATAATTATTTTTTGATTTATTTTATAATAAATTACATAAAAGTTGATATCGTGGTAATTATTTTTTAATTATATTAACTGTTCTTTTATTACTATTAAAAAAAGTTTTTCAACTATTAAAATATAAAGAGATTCAATTATTAAATTGATGTACTAAAGGACCTCCTAGATAGGGAACAAAGATGTCTAAATCAGTTTGAAGACAAATAATGGTTGTAAGTCTGAAAATTAAAACTGTTTGAAACAGGACCTTTACCTTTCTTTCATTCACACCTTTCTTTCCAAGTAAAGTTTCAGTCATAAATTAATTGAGTGAGTAAATTACAAATAGAAGACAAAAAATTCATACAGTTATAAACTTTGCTCATTATTAAAGATTTCTCAATATGAATGGTAAAAAACAATAAGAAAGGAAGTTGGTCACGTGGTTTGAATGTTGTAAAATGAAAGAGAAAGAAGATTTTGTTGGACTCAGCAAGCACACAAGGACACAGTCGTTCACACCACCACCAAGTCTGGTCAACGGTCAATCCCACGGTGACATTCCTTTTTCATTAAATTTGACTGAGATGAACAATTAACCACATACAATCTCCAATATTCTCCATCATCACTGACAAGTCTCAAACTTTCTTCCTTTAGTTTACGTTGTTGTTGTTGTTGTTGTTGTTGGGTGGGCATGCTAATTTAACTTAGTTTGTTGCTTTTCTCTACATAATTCATACTCTATTCTCTATCTCAGCTCACGGCAGTTTTTTGTTGTTGTTGTTGTTGTGGTGGGATTGATTAATATATATTTGTCATGTTTCTGTAGGAGTATAATGGATGAACCATTGAGGTTGCTAAAAGTCATTGTAGTGCAAGGGAAAAGATTAGTGATCCGGGATTTCAAGAGCAGTGACCCTTATGTTGTTGTCAAGCTGGGGAATCAGGTAACTTAGAGGATATACATTTCAATTTTGCTTTGTGTCTTTTTATATCAACAGTTTACGCATTAGAACTTTGTAAATCATTCATTATCATGTATCAGACAGCAAAGACCAGGGTCATCCATTGTTCCTTGAATCCAGTTTGGAATGAAGAGCTGAATTTCACTCTGACAGAACCTTTGGGACTTCTGAATTTGGTGAGTTTCCTCATATTCATTTGCATTTGTAGATATATACTTTCTTGACTATATTTTGAGTATTGAAAAATATTCAAATAAATTTTTGAGCTTGAGATTTGGAATGAAAATTAACTCGTCAGTTGATTGAAACATCAATTTGGAAGTTGATTGAAAGGAAAAAACTTTGAGATGACCTAAAAGAGAAGTAAAAGAGTAAGCGATGAAGGGTAAGAGATTTAGATAGTTTGCACTGTATCGGTGGCTCAAACTTCTTTGTGAAAGGTTACTAAGTGTTTATCAGGTGTTGATGTTGTGTAACTAGGTTGGTTTTCTTGGATAGGAAGTGTTTGACAAAGATTTTTTGAAGGCTGATGACAAGATGGGGAATAGTTACTTGAACCTTCAACCATTGATGTCTGCATCTAGATTAAGAGATATTTTAAAGGTGTCCTCTGCCTCTGGTGAGACAGCATTAAGGAAAGTGACACCAGATAGTGAAAATTGTCTTGCCCGTGAAAGCAGTATCAATTGTGTTAATGGTGAAGTTGTTCAAAATGTTTGGTTGAGGCTTCGTGGGGTTGAATCTGGGGAGCTACAATTGACAGTCAAGTTGATCAACTCCTCATACAAACATATTCAAATATAATTTAGCAGTTATTTGGATCTGTTTGATCTTAGTCACTTGAAGCTGCATATTCCAATGAAATTGTTTTCATTCATGGCTTCTTCTATCTCGGGCTTGTGTTTGTCATTGTCTTCCCTTGTATTGGAATCACAAATTCGTACAAGGAAAACTAGTTAGCCTTTTTATTTCAGATTTCAGATTTTGGTGATTTGTATTTTTATGGAATAGAAATATAAATTAAGAAGTTTAGAAGTATAATAATTTAACTTTATAAGTTTTTTTTTTCATAAATAAATAAAATATTGACTTAATCAATTTTGTAAAACAATAATTAGAAAAAAGATTTTAATAATTTTATTTCAGGGGGTTAAATGCTGTGAAATATTATGATTTCAAGGAATGATTAAAGTTTGTCTCGAATTTGAAAAATATTTCTAAAAATATTTGTACAAGTTTTTTTACAGATAGAAAAGTAATATATTTTTATTAAAACTTTGATTTGATACTATTATTAAATGATCTAATAAAAGTAACATGATTTAAAAGAAAAATCTATTTTTACTTGAGATTTTTTATTTTAACAAAGTTTTTATAAGACACATGGTTAAATAATATTTCCGGAAAACCTTGTTTCCTTATTTCTAAAAATAAACTAAAGGGTTATTCTAGAATACTTTATATATATATATATATATATATATATATATATATATATATATATATATAAATAAAGTAATGCAGTATTCAGTAAAGATTTTTAAATTTCACAAAAAAATTGTATGGTATTCAATCAACAATATCAAAATTTTAGATTGCAACAAATTGAGATTTTAAAAGATTAGAAAGAAATTATCTGAAATTCAAAATGATACAAATTTAATTAAATTATTTTTATGATTGGATTACTATAAATTATGTAATGTGTGTGTGTGCTAATGATTTTTCAATAAATGGTCTAAACTAGCTTATATGGATCTATTGAAAATATAGTTATTAAAACAATAAATAAAAAAGGAAAAATAATAAGTAAATAACAAGTTTAAAATAAACAAAATTAATCATCTTATATCTATATTTTTTTTCCTTTTTGTAAACAATACATGCAATAAAATGTATTTTTCATTAATAATTAATTAATTTTCAATGTGTACTTATTTTACAAATTCTCAAAAATAACTATAAAAATAAAATATTAAAATAATACTAGATTAATAGGAGTATATAATTAATTAAGTGTATTCCTATTAAAATAATATTATTTAAATATGTATTTTTTATTTTTCATGTGTAGAAAAAATAATTACAATAGAAGAGTTAATTGTACGAAGAACACTAGTGGAGAATTATGTGGTATTTAGAAAAAATTGTAATAATCCTAATCCTAATCTTGAAAGAAAGGTAGATCAGTAGTTGGCGATGACGATGAAGAATGGGAAGTGGGTCCCTCCGTTAGGGCCTAACACCTACCGTATTTAGTGTTCCAACAAAATCAAAACCAAAACTTTTCTTTCATTTGTCCTTATGGTCTTGTATTTTTGTTCTATATACGTCATTCTTCATATCAATACCATATCTTTTTTTCTTCTCATTTTCAGATCAAGACCCTATTTTTCCTGTTTCCTCCACCTTTCGGACGCTCCCCATGTCTACTTCTGTAAAATCCCGAGGTTTTTCCATTTTTTTTTGTGACAACTTTGAACCTTGTTTTCAATCATCATTAATTAAGTGATGCCTTCTCATAAAATCACAACTTGCATGCTTCTTTATAAATCCCCAGCATACTGAGTTTAAGTATTCTTATGGAAGTGTGAAAATGGACCACCTTTGATACAAACAGAATTGATAAGAATGCTTATAACGCAGCTCTTCTGTTTGAATTTCTGGGTACAGATGTTTGTATTGTTGGTGTTGCACGGACGCCAATGGGCGGTTTGCTTGGCACCATATCATCTCTCTCTGCTACAGAGTTAGGCTCGATTGTTATTGAGAGTAAATCACGATGCTATTTTCCTCTACCCCTTTTTATTTTTTAGTTACTACCCTTGTCACTTTTAGTTGATTTGGAGAAGTCAGCAAACTATTATGCAATTTCTTGCGCCTCCTCCTGTGTTATGTTTGAAGTTGATATGCACATATGCAGATGCTCTCAAGAGAGCAAATGTTGATCCATCGCTTGTGCAAGAGGTGTTCTTTGGGAATGTTCTAAGTGCAAATTTAGGGCAGGCTCCTGCTAGACAGGCTGCATTAGGTGCAGGAATACCTACATCTGTAATCTGCACCACTATTAACAAGGTGTGTGCATCAGGGATGAAAGGTATGGTTCTTTTTGGTTCATTTGGAAGGGACTTCCCACATAAATATAGGATTTTTTTCATGTGGATTACGGTGAAATTCATGGTCTCGTCTTTTTCGTTGCAGCTACCATGCTTGCAGCACTGACTATACAATTCGGTCTCAATGATATTGTTGTGGCTGGCGGTATGGAAAGCATGTCAAATTCACCTAAGTACATTGCTGAAGCCAGGTTTGTTTTTCTTTAATCAATTGGTGATGCTTTCATATAAAAGATGATGATTATGAAATCAGCTGCGTATAGTGGAAGAATGATTTTGTTTTATCTGCCACATTGAAATCTAGTCTCTTGTGGTGCTACAGGAAATAGTCTATGCCACTTAATTTTAGTTCAAGTGCTTAAACACTGGATGAAATGTGACTATCTCCATTTTAGCATTACATTTTTTGGTTAGTTATTGATGTTGAGTATCTCCATATTCTGCATACATTGTGTCTAAAACAGGAAAGGATCTCGGTATGGACACGATACTATCATTGATGGTATGGTCAAAGATGGCCTTTGGGATGTCTATAATGACTTTGGCATGGGAGCTTGTGCAGAACTGTGTGCAGATCAACATGCCATAACAAGAGGCGAGCAGGTAATGTTTCTGGGTGAACAACCTATTAAAATTTCGTAATACATTTCATTCTTGTTGATGGCTTCAATATCCTTTAACTGCTACAATTAACTTAATTTAACATCATTATTCGGCAGCCTGTCTGCCCTATCAAGTTGGTGGAGGCGCCTTGTTCCTTCCCACATTTATCCTCCTTTTAATTGTTCTTGGAAAACAAGAATCTTGCAGTGCTTGCTGCTCTTCCTAATTTTAATTTTACAATTGTACCTTCTTGTCCCATGACATTATGTCTCCTTGAACATTTTTTGGAGCTGAAGCCTCAAGAATGTTTTATTTTGAACTACTTTCAGTCTTTAGTCGAATCTAGTATTTGTAATTTTGTTCTATTTGACTATGTATGTTGTTTTCCAGGACTCTTATGCTATTCGAAGCTTTGAGAGAGGAATATCTGCACAAAAGGCTGGTCATTTTGCTTGGGAGATAGTTCCGGTGTCATAACGATTCCTGCCTATATCTAATTCAGTTGATAACTTCTGCAGTGAAGTTGAGTTGATTTTCAATTTTTGCTTTTTTCACATTCAGGTTAAGGTTTCCAGTGGAAGAGGGAAGCCTTCCTTGGTGGTTGATAATGATGAAGGTTTGGGGAAGGTAAATAGACTAATTTACAAATGTGTTAACTAATCTAAATGGATTATCTGGTCCGTGGTTCATATTAGGAGATTTTAGGTTTACATTGTTGTTCAGTGTGTGTGACAAGGTTGTATATGCAAATATTAAATGGACCCCAATTACCAAGAAATACAATTTTTCTGAAGGTTCTGCTATTCACATTTTTTGGCTACTGATTTGCTTAACGAGCTACATAAATTTGTCACGAAGTAGATTGAATCCAGTTCTGTATACAGGAGCTTTTGCTTTTATTTTGTTGTCTAATTGGAGGCTAGGGGTGTTTGTTTATTGGTTTTAGTGTCAACCACCGCCTTTAGCATTCCATTACTGCCATGGTACTTGTCATCTTACTTGAATACAAAAACCACACTGAGTTAATGCATTCAAATAGCTTGTCATTTGTAAGTTCATAACTGAATTCTTACATGAAATTTGCGTGCTTCATTTGCACTAACGTGGAAATTCCTACATTTTCTTAATATTTATGTTCATGTTGTCAGTTTGATGCTGCAAAATTAAGGAAGCTTCGACCAAGCTTTAAACAGGATGGAGGTTCTGTGACTGCTGGCAATGCTTCTAGCATAAGGTCCCTCCCTTCTCTTGTGTTCCTTGGTACCTCTGAATTCTAAGGGGGTTGTTCTTGTCCCTTATGTCATCGCAAGAAGATTGCTTATAAATTGATATCCGTTTTCATGCAATATAGGGTACGGTAATCATAAGGTTCTAAACTGCATATTCTTCTGTTAATAATGGATTGGTTTATTGATTTTACCAGTGATGGTGCTGCTGCATTAGTCCTAGTGAGTGGAGGAAAGGCACGTGAGCTTGGATTGCATGTAATTGCAAAGATAAAAGGATATGGGGATGCAGCTAAGGTGCTTTGACAAGTTAGTGTTAACCTGCTTTGGTCTTGATTAGTATGAGCATTTAGAGTTAAGAAGGGGTGTTTTTTCAGGAACCTGAATTATTTACAACTGCTCCTGCTCTTGCCATACCGAAAGCTATATCAAATGCTGGCCTCGAGGCTTCCCAAATAGATTATTATGAAATAAATGAAGCTTTTTCTGTAAGAAATACGACACATATTTGATTTGACTAATTCAAGTGACCATGCTAACCATCTCCAACTTCTTCTATGCAGGTTGTGGCTCTAGCAAATCAGAAGCTGCTTGGTCTTAATCCTGTGAGTGTTCAAGTGCTTCAGTTACTTGGTTCTTTTTATATAATAAAAACATTTTTTTGGCTGCTTCGGCTTTATGATTCCTCCATTTTGTCATTGTACAAAGGCTTAATAATAGATAATTCATGTACTTCCTATCAAATGCAGGAAAAAGTTAATGTACATGGTGGAGCTGTATCACTGGGGCATCCCTTGGGTTGCAGTGGAGCTCGCATCTTAGTCACATTATTAGGGGTAAATTGTGATCTTGGTTATCTTATATATCATTTTCTTTCACCCTTGTCACTTTAGTATTGTGTATATCATGCACCTCTACACTTCCCAAATTTTTGTGATATCTGAATATCTTAGCCAAGTTGTATTTCAGGTATTGAGACAGAAGAGAGGGAAGTATGGTGTTGCTGCCATCTGCAATGGGGGAGGAGGAGCATCTGCTGTTGTCCTTGAGCTCATGTAAGCCTTAGCCATAGTTCAGATCTCTTATACTTTATAGTGTAGTTAATCCTGCTTAAATTGTACGAGAACTGTTCCTTTTTTCCAATTTTGCAGGCCAATTGCTGTGGGACGTTCTTTATTATGACAACGATCTCCTAGCATCATAATACTTTGCAACACTAGTACAACATTTTTCTCTTGTAAATGACAAAACATGTCATAATAAGTTTGGTTAAAGGAAGAAACTGTTTCAGTGTAACCTTTTGCAGTTACCCTTTTATTCTTAATAAAAAATCGTTTTAAATTTGATTTATTAAATAATTGTCTTGATCGATTATGCATGGTTGTTAGTATATGAATTTTTGTGAGCACGCTGGATATATGTTGATGGAAAAGGATCTTTGAAGAATAGAAGAAGACGAAATAGAAGAAAAGTGTGTATAATGAGTGGGGTGTTATAACTAGTTTCGTTCAGGATATAATGAGGAACCTTAGGCATGTCTTGCACTTTCAAAGCTCAAGATGTGATAAAAATGTTATTTTTATAATGATTTTACTTTCACCTATTGTGCACTAAAGGATTAATCTTGCACCTTGTGTCTATTAAGTTGAGTAACTTTTTAAGGTGGTGTTCAGTTAATAAAACTTCATACTTTTTTGACACCTTCCCAATTTCAATACAACAATGCAACTCTTCAATTTGAAAAAATATATAAAAAAATTTTCATGAAGAAAGATAACTCTACATACATTGAAAAAAGATCACGTACAATATATACGGCGATTGACCTAAATATAGTTGATGCTACAAAATTTTGAAGGATGAAATGTTGAAAACCCAATGAAAAAAAGAAAATTAAAAGGCCACGAAAAGTCTGATTCCGAATTATTGCAGGCCTGTGAGACGGTGAAAGATGATGAAATTCTTGTTATCAAATGTTATTCCATTGTTCATCACATCCATGGATGGGTTCATCAAATGTGCAAAAGTAGAAAAGGGTTTCACAAGTTAAGGGTTTCTTTGAGTTATGGAGGTTTTAGGGTTTAGAACGTTCATATATACATATGTTTAAAAAATTTAAACTAATAATAATTTATATACATATGTTTATGAATTTCAATTTGTTAAAAATAATGAGCTGGGTTATATTTTATGAATTTAATTAGAAACTACAGTATTGCTATTTAATCATGTTATTATATATATATATATATATATATATATATATATATATATTATTCCCGTTGATTTTTGTAATAATTAGTTATTGAAATATTTTAATAAAATATTAATTTTTTGAATGACATTTTACTGTAAAAATCTTAAATAACAAGTTGTTTAATTTTTTTAATTATTTCATAAAAAATTATAAAAAAAATAAAGAATAGAAGAGAATGAATTTTTTAATCTTTCTTAAAAAATTAATAATAAATTATTTAAATATGATAGGACATAATAATCCATATTATAATTTTTTAAGATGAAAATTAATTCATATAAATTATTTTTATTCGAGATGTCTTTATAAATTATTTAAAGAAATTCCATAAGCTAATTTATCAAAATATTTTTATATTATGTACTGTATGGATTTTAGAATTTAAGAAAAAATATATAGTTTTAGAAAAGTCTAAATAAAAACTATAAGAAGCAGTATAGTTTTAAAAGGAAAATAATAAATTAAAATAATATCAAAAGATTATTATTTTATTATTAGAACAGAGGAACTGACAATATTTATTAGGGGCATATTTGTAGGAGTTTATCTTTAAAGGCTTCTAAGAGAAAAATGTAAAGAATAAAAATAAAATTTCATTTCATAAATTAAAAATACCTTATACTTAAATTAAAAACAAAAATTTAGAAAAATTATATTAGAGAGTTTTTATAAATTAATATAAAAAGCTAAATGTATTTATTAATGAGATATGAAGGCAGCAATAACTAATTAACAACATTTGTTTTTAATTAACCAATATCTAGTAAAACATTATGGAATAATGTTCCTTGTGTTCCGCATAAATATAATGCTTTTTTTTCACAATTACGCACTGGAAAACGTCATTTTTTGTATTTGACCACCCTGTTTGGTTGGTAATGCCAATGGTACGTACTGTTAGTCCCACCACAAACCTCTCTGTCTCTTAACCTAAAAAGTAGCAAAACTAATTCTACATCCACCAGATTTAACCAATCATTGTCCGGGATGTTCTTTTCAAAGGGCCAGATTTCAAATGGGAAAACTTGGACTCAGGAAACCTGTTTTTTCACCAGGGTTCTTATGAGTTCCAACACCTTTCCTTTGAAATATTATTACATGACTTCTACCTGATCAAGTGAAAGAGACACGGCTCCTCTGGCTTCATCTTTGTTTCTTCACGTAACAACATTGCTCCCCTTTCTTCAAACATCAAATATTAAACAAAATATATCACTTTTATCGACTTTAACATGTGCCCTTCGGTTATAGAATGATCTCATTGCGATTTATCTTGCAGATACAATTTTGTGAGTGCAAAGAAAATGACTGGCCCCAAAAGACAGAATTCTCCAAGGGGAGAGGTTGGAGAGATTGACACAAGGGCACCATTCCAATCTGTCAAAGCTGCTGTTAGTTTATTTGGGGAGGTAGCCACAAGAGACAGATTTTCTTTCAAGAGAAGATCATCAGAGGTATGCATCAAACGTTAATTTCAATTTTTTTATTCTAAAAAATATATTATTCCAGTTAATCTACGAAAAAGTTAATAAAATTCAGTTGCATGTTGTGATGGGAAAATATAGATGCCTTTAGCATTGCCTGAGATACATGTTTGCATGGTTGTCGTAGAAAACGATTTTTATGTTTTTTCTTCAAAATTTGCAGAATGTATTTGAAAAGGAGACGCAGCTTATCTTGGCCCAAAAGGAACTAAACAAAATAAAGAAACAAGTGGATAATGCTGAGGCCGACAAAGCCAAAGCACTTTCTGACCTCGAGAGTGCCAAGGAGATACTTAAGGATTTGACAACCAGGCTAACAAACGTAAGAGAATCCAAGCAATCTGCAATGGAAGCAGCTGAAGCCGTGAAAAACCAGGGCAAGCGATTTGAAAAGACACTATCCCTAAAAGCCGTGGGATATGAAGCTTGGAAGAAAGAACTAGAACATGCAAGAAAAGAGTACATCACCACTATAACTGAACTAGATTCTTCCAAGCAAGAACTCACCAAAATAAGGCAGGATTTTGATGCAGTTATGGGGGCTAAGCTGGCAGCATTGCAAGCAGCAGGAGAGGCTCAACGTTCAGCAATATTAAACTCAGAAAGAATCAGCGAACTTTCAAATGAAATTGCAACCATGAAAGCATCAATTGAACAATTGAAGCTCACCTCTGAACAATCCCATGAAGAAAGGGAAGCCCAACTTATGAGTTATTACAAAAATGCCAAGGAAGAAGCACGAAGAAACTTGGAATCCTTAAAGAATGAATATGATCCTGAACTCATGCAAAGTCTAGACGTCAAACTTGTCCAAACAAATGCGGAGATTGAGGCTCTTCAAGAACATATTAAGAAGCTGCACGCTTCTAAGATGGATTCTGTGAGGCTTCTAACTTCAGAGCTTAAAGAAGCCACAAAAACACTTCAGGACATTGCTGAGGAAAAGAACTCCCTTAAGAAATTGGTATTTTTTCTCATGACAGAATTGAAGCAAGTGAGAAATGAGCAAAATGGAGTGAAGGAGAAGGAACATGCAACGGAAGCTCTTGCTGCTAGCCTCACCGTTGAACTGCAAGGAACAATGGGAGAGACAAAACTTGCACCAGGCACTGTGGAGGACTTAGAAGCTGATATCTTCTATATACAAACTAAGAAAATTCAGAAGCTACAATTGGAGACGGAAGGTGCAAGAAGAGAAGCTGAAGAGATAAGGAGAAAAGCTCAAGAGCTGAAGCGAGAAGCTGAAAAGTGCCGGGTTGTGGCAGAAGACGCGGAGCAAAAACTTGAGCTAGTTCTGGTGGAGGCTCAGGAGGCAAAAGCAGCTCACCAAAGAGCCGTTAAAGAGATCAAGATTTTATCTGAAGTGGGTACAGTTCCGAACTCAAAATTCAGTGGTAAGATCAAGATGTCAAGTGAAGAATTTGAGGCAATGAGAGCAAAGGCCAAGGAGTGTGAGGAATTGGTTGTAAAGAAAGAGGCAATTGTGATGGCAGAGCTTCAACAAATCTACGCAAGAAAGAATGAAGTGGACAGAAAGGTGGAAACTAATCTGAAGGCCATTGAGGAAACAAAGGCTGCTACAGAGACGGCTTTGTGGAGTGCAGAGATGGCAGATTCATCAAAAGTAGCAATTGAAACTGAACTGAAGAGGTGGCGTCAACAACATCAAAAAGTGGTACCCGATGTTGCTTCTTAGAAATTGGAGCATTCTGTAACTCCAATCTCGTTGATCACAGAATAGAAGTCAAAATCTTGGACACGTAGATGGGAAAGGAAGTAACATGGTTTTGTGTTGCCTTTCTGCTTTTATCTTGGGAGATGGGCCATCAATTATGTATTATCACTCTTTCAGTGCGCCCGGAAACTGTGTTGATGTTTCCATCTTTCAGAGATAAACTGAATGTGCACATGCAATTTTTCGTTGTCAACAACTTTCCAAATAAGAAGTAGCTTTTCTTTATGCACAATAACGCAAAGCTGAACAAGGTTTTCAAGCGAGGGACATAAATCATACGATGTTTCTCGTGTGCCGTTCAACAATGCTTTGAACATAAATTAGTATATCTTATATTTGAACAGGGATAGAAAAATCAAGAAAAATGAAGACCAGAAATGTAAAAGAAACACGCTGATAAAATATTATATTTGATATTGATCTCCGACATTGTGACGAGATGTAAAGCTGGGATTTGCATTTAGATTGACTACCCCTTAAGTTTTCTTAAGGTACATAAACATCGCTAACTAATTCTGCAGAGTCCTGATAGAAGTAATTCTGATGTGGAGTCCTTCTACATTGGTTGTACAGGCAAAAGATCTCTGATCTTGAGGTCTCAACAGTATTCTAAAGAAATATTGAATTATTAGACACCATTGCCGTTCTCAAACTTGTGTAACTCTGACTCTATAGTCTTGGCAATCTCAACTTCATCTTCTGGAGGTTCTGGAAAGTCCACATGAAATGAGCCCTGTTTGATAGGTTCAACAGGTTCACAGAGTCTGGCTTGCTGCTTGATGTGGTTATAGAGCTCTTGATGAAAGGGATGATCTAAGGAATAGCAATTTTCACTTCCAGTTTCTGAATGTCTGGATGATCCAGAGCCTTCTTTTTTACAGAAATGTGGCAGAGACGAGTAATCCATGACCTGTACACCAAATTTAAATTGTTAAATTCATTAATTCAAAGTAAAAAGAGAGGACAGGCACCACGCAGTAGACCTTCGATTTTTCAAATCACAAACATAATAAAAGGAATGAATAGTTAAAGAAAATTATTTTGATTAAATTCATCAATTGAAGTATAACCTGTATTATGCATATAATGTTTGCAAAATTTTACGAAAAACCAAAATAAGTAGGATATGAAGTGATGGTATTTTCTTTTAAAACATTTTCTACCTAAGATATTTTGGTACGTACATCAATTTTAATTTAATGCATAATAAAGATTCGAACAATAAAAACTTTAATCCAAAGCGTAGATTTTGTGAAAAAAGTCATCCTTTAAAATATTATTTCTTAGAGAGATTCATTTACATACAGACAACTTGCGTTTCGGATCCTAAGACTAATACAGAACACTACCCCAATTTTCTGTAATGACTTCCAATTCTGGAAATGCAATAAATTTATTTCTACATTTTTTACTGCTGATGGTGTTTCTAGAGATAGGTATGATCTTGGAATTTTGAAATATTTTCCAACTAGTTTCAGAGGCATTGTGGTCGAAATAAATGCCAGAATTTCCAAGATAAGCCTACGGCACAGCAAAAAATGCCTACATGGAATCCCTGTGCTGTTCTGCTAATGGTCTTTGTAAATGGATCTCTGTCTGGTAAGCCACCTACTGGTTTTGTTTCCTATCGCATTTTTCTGTTTGTAATTTTGTATTGCATTCTTTATTGTTTACCTTTAAAAAGAAAAGCTATTGTCTACTTTTTCAACTCTCTTGTTGAATTAGTAGGTGCTTCTTGTTTATATGTTACCACCACGACTGAGATCATGATAATTGTAAATTTTTTTCTTCATCATGGCATAATTTAAGTTGATAGGCGTATGCACTTCAGCAATCTTGTTCAAAGAAATGAGGAAAAAACAAAACAAAAAAACTTACATTCAACAGCTCATCTCGACCACAACCTGATAAAACCTGTATTTTTTTTCTTGTCCTCTCTTGTAAAAGTGGCTTCACAACCTGCTAAAGCTGAATGTTTAATCATCATGCTGAGTCTCAATAGGAACTCAACTGAAACTGCTATATTAAATAAAAATATCATACAGGAAGCAAAGTCATGAGGAACAAAATCTTTATTTTATGGTAGAAAATCTCACCTTCCAACAAGCTGAAAATATGTATGGAGCATTTACAATGTAATAAGTATTTGTCTTCTCAGGGTAGTTCAGATCATCAATGGATGATATAATAGTTAACAACTGCATCAGTAGGAGCAAGTTAATGATATAGAATATATACGAAGTATGGGAGAGAATTGAACATTTTCCGCTTTTAAGTTTGGTTTCGTGAAGCAATAACAGCAAATGTTGACCTAAACAAGAAAAATGACAAATTGGAGTAACATTTTCAATTTTTTTTGTGTATGTTTACAGATTATCTATACATTAAATTCACAATTAATCATGAGTATGGCAATGCTACTGGGTCAAATAGCACAATGAACCAAAAAGTACCTTAATCTGATTCAGGGCTGATAACTTCAGACCGGTCATGTCTAAAACCTTTATACAAGTGGTAATAGTCCGCTTGTGCTTCTTTGATGCAGAAGGCTACAGGCATATATGTGTCATAATAAAATAACAAAAAAGCTCAATTGGTTAATGAAGAAAACTCTAAAGACTAATACTCACCAAGATTATACGGTCACGGTATTCATTAATTTGAATGTGTGACTGCACATAATAATGGACCTGCAATCGCAAAAACACAAAAAAATGTGAGAAGGACATCAGAATGCATAGTTTTAAAAAGGAAACCGACAGTGCTCCAAAGAGGCACTATCCCTTTCCTTTTTTTCCAATAATTAAACTTACAGATGCTTTGTCAAATGTGCTAAGCCCAACACCGATTGCAAAGACAGGCAGACCCTGAAGGAAGGCAGAACAAGAAGAATAAGATTAAAATACAAAGGAAAAAAATAATCTTAATGCAATCATTTAATCAATATCATTAAAAATGCACATGGTCATAGAGCCTAAGTTGCATTTTCTGATAAACAAACACCTATCATGGACACCTTAGATGAAATGGAATGAGGAAAATATTATGTCTAAGAATAAGCACCTCTTTGGAGTAACCTGACAATCCTATGAGTTGTGAATCACGCACTGCTCTATATAAATCAGCAGGAACAATTGGTTTCTGGAAAATGAGTCACCAAACAGACATAGTATTTGATAAGATACAATATATTACCATTATTTTGAAACTAACAACTCTCAAAAGGAGCAAGTCTCTCGATCATAAAAAAGAACCGAACTTAAAAAAAATGTATTGACAGAGAGATCATACAAGGGATCGACATAATAAAAACTCACAGATAATATATGGTCAATCTCATTTTGCACTCTCCAATTTAAACAGTCAACCAACTGAAACATAATACAGACGTCAGGTAAATTATGTTGCAACAGTGAAATTATTTGCCAGCAAAACGTTCAAGAAAAGACCACTTGCACTATATATATCTTAACCATTTTATAGGCCTTGGAAGGATCCCAATCCCTTGCTTTTAGAAACCGCATTAAAGTTTCGGTGACATATCCTTGATGAACATTCTGGCAATTAAAGTTGTAAAATCCAAAGGAGAAGAAAGATGTCAGTTTTACAGAATCAGAATACGAAAAGGTAATTGGAATTCACGTAAATTAAGTACTTAAATTTAGGCAGAAGAGTTATTAACTTTTGTAGTTAAGTAGTCGTTAATTGATTACCAAAAACTCCTAGTTTTCATCAAGCGTCGTATAAATAGTCGAACAATTATATATAATGATAAATTAGTAGCATTCCCAGAAACAGAAAGAACTTATTAGGACTTTTGTGCTGAGATACTAGTTTACAAAATAGGTGAAAGCGTGAAACACAAGAAATATTTTATAGTCGGAACAATTTGACAAAGAGAAATTAATTGAGATCTCCTTTAGGAGACATTACGTGTAAAATATCCGGAAACATTAGAAGTGCGGAGTCCATAAAATGAGCCAAAGATTTAGATATAGAAGTTACGAGAAGTAGAAGGTTATTGCAACGACCACAATACCAAAAACGTGAGATGAATACATAGGAGGTTCTTGATAAGGCATCCCAAGCCATAACCCTACCTACCCATACACACACGAACCAAAAGAATAAATAGATGGTAATTGACGCAGATCAAAGAGGTGAAATGATGGAGAGAGAGTGAAAGGCGTTGGAGGCAAGTTGTAACGAGATCAGCGAAATGCAAAAGAAAATGCTAACCTGAAACGTTGTTCGCAAAGGCTCCTCAACTACCATTTTTGGAAATTCAAGACAAGAATAAAAAAAACGTGAGAAAAAACAGCAAGAGAGAGATGAAAATATAGAGAGTGAGAGAGAGAGAAAGAAAGATACCTTGGTCAATGAATGCCTGAAACTGCTTGATTGCATCCTGGGAACCAACCCCCATTTCTTGTTGTTGTTGTTGTTGTTCTTCAACTCTTAACTTCACTTTTCTCTCTTTCCAGTTTTACTACAACACAACACACACCTTCAAGCAAAAGGAAGATGAAGGAGACGGTTTAACTATATATAAATATTTAACAAAGAAGAAGTAGCAGAAATAAACAAAGAGTATTCAACAAAGACGGGCCTATCATCAACAAGCTCTTCGCACCTACAAACTCCACCCTTTTTTCCTCTCCTTTTATATTTTCTTTTACTTACTTTTTTCTTTTTCTTTTTATTTATTTACTATATCTGATACCAATATATTATCATTTATTAAAAAAAGGTAATGCGTTATTAAAAGCAAAAATGGAAGCTTCAGAGTTCAGAATCTGATGACAAATTGAAAGATGAGATACCAAACAAACATTTTCAAAGTAGCTTTTTAAATTATTAATTTTCATAGGATTACTGACGGGTCACTGCACACCGTTGATTTCATCGACCCACTGCCGCGATCTGTTTTCAGCCGTCAGATTTCAGTTTCATTATTTTTGGCTCGTAGTGTTTGTGTGAGAGTGGTTTATGGTTTTGAATCTCCTGCATAACTGCACACATGCAGTTCGATTAAATTCTTTTTTAACTATTTTTATTGATGTTTTTATTTACATAAATGGTGTTAAGAAATTTAATATATATTTAATATAATTTCAAGTTGATGTAAATTATATAAATAATATACCCGTTTGGCTTGTCCTAAATCAAACCAAACCGTGAGACTTTTATAATGATATCCTCCTGCACCGTTTTGGGATAATTCTTGACATGCATCCAACAATTGGTACTAAAGAACAAGTGATTGTTCGAATCAAGCACAATTCTCGAATTAACAACACGAAAAAAGAGAAAAAAAAAAGTGGGGGCAAAAGAAAACATAGAAAAAGGGTTATTGAAAGCATGCACCTAAAAAGAAAAGGCCAACTAAAAAAACACGTTATAAGATAAGCTCTACACCATCTAATCTAACACTGCCTTTGTTTTTACGGAAAACCCTTTTTTGGTTGTCAAAAGAGGGTGGTTGCTTCATAAATGATAAATAAAAAATCTACGGTACACATTTATTATTGAGGTGAGGTGTGGACGCGTGTGTAACAGTTGCATGTTCTTTAAATCTTTTAACATGTGTCCTTCTCATGCATTTACATCATTGATTATTTAGGGTTTATTGGTCCTTGGCCTTGGGTGCCTTTTTCTGCCCCCACACACCAACGTACACGCACCATCAATGCGTATTGTTTGGTTTTGACTCATGTAGTTGGGTTGCAAATTTTGGATCCCGACTGAGTCAAAGAAAAAGTAAGTAAAAAACAGAGGATTTGGGCGCATGTAATCAGAACCGGGGAACTGGCTTTGAAGCTTCCAACAAAACCAATTAAATGATAAACTTTGTATTCGTTCACATTTTGCATCCAAAACTTTGACACATCCAAAGGAAAATAATCCACAATATTCACGACCTACATAATTGACCTGAAAATATATTTAGCGCACTATAACTTGATTTTTTTTTTAATGTGACGATTAAACTAAAATTTTGTTGGTGTAAGGTCTTGACAAATTTTTGGTCATGTATATATATGATACATATTTAAATGTGTTAGGGTAATTATTTATTAAGTCAAATAATAAAGTGGTCTGAATAAATTAAAGTTTTGACTAAAGGCATATGTCATGAAAATATGATTGTGTAGAGACCATAGAGTAATTTCTAATTTGATGAGGGGTCAAATTGAAAATACTAAAACTTAAGTAATTAACCTAATTTTGGTTATATAAAGGGTCATGGTCCCTTCCGAGAGCACACGACAGTAACATAGTTACAGTCCCGTTCCTTTCTTTCTATCCCCATCAAGAAAGAAAATCAAGAGGGAAATACAGGTGCTCTTCAGGTGGAAGACCATAAGATCAAATCAAAAGTGCTTTACAAAGGATATCGTCATATGGCCAATTCAGGTACGCTTTCGCATTTAGTTCATAACATGTTTACAGTATGGGATTATAGATATATATTTGATCATTAGAATGGATATCATATTTAATTATCGGTTTACCTAACAATTGGTATCAGAGCAACCCATACTTGATTCATGTTTGTATTTAGAAATTAGATTTAACAAAATTGAGATTTAAGTATTCCCTTGGAAAATAATCTCCAAATTTTACGAACCCTAAATTTAAATTTGGGGTAAAATTCCCAATTTTAAAACCTAATTTCGAATTTGGGGTAAATTCCCAAATTCCCAATTTCGAGCGAGAGGAGCGAAACGTTTCAGGCAGCGTTGATATATATTGAAGGTGGAGATCCGCGCCGTACAGATCCTCGTTGCTGGCTTGTAGGTTTTGGAGTTCCCCATTCAGGACCAAGAAACGGAGTTTCCAAACACGGAACCCGCCTCCGAGGAACCCTAAACGGAACCCAAGCTGGGGTTTATCGCAACAAAAAAAAAATTGCTTCTCTGGCCCAACCAGAAAAGGTTGAGGAATTATTATCTAACGAGAAGGGAGTTCCAATGGTGTCTCCCATTGCTTCACGCCCTGTTGTGCTCACTAGTGCAAATCGGAACCGCCGAGAACCTGACACAGAATTGACCCTCTGTCTCTTTTTATTTTTTATTTTTTTTGGTATATAATTGAATGTTTTGACACCTGGAGTAACACGCGTTCATCGATGGGACTGTTTTGTCTTTGGTAACATAAAAGGATATGGCAGTGGTGGATTATCGTGATGAGAAGCATGGTCAAATGTTTGCTTGTTGCGGTGTGGCTCCAGAGGGGTCATTAAGGATAATTCAAAATGGTATTAATGTGAAGAAAAAAAAAATCATCAAAAAATTTCCAGAGATGTTACCAGAGAAAATTGGGTCATGTTTCAGATACACAAGAGAATCGGATGGTGTTAATGTTGTGGACCCGCTGCCTTAATTAAAAAAGCCATTATAGTACAATTTTTTTTTAGAAATGGCTCTTGAGACTTAATTTGGTTTAGGGTTATCCTTATTAATATATTCAATTTATTTGGTAGTTTAATATTTTTGTGAACAAATTTAGTCAAGAAGTCACCAAAGTAACTTCTCTTGAATTGGGCAGTTCATGAAAAATATTGAATGTTAGTGTTTGTGTATATTCATGCGAGTATTAGTCGTCCCAAAGGAAGATTAATATTTGGCCGAATTGCATACACATTTGTAATGATAAACATGTGATAATTATAAGGATTTGCTTTGTCGATGATAAATCAATCCAAAGACTGATTTGTTGTTAGACGTGCTCTATTGTCAATGTTTGATTATTACAACAAGATACCTCTAGCAGTTAATATTTCTGTCCAAAGACTTGATATTGATGGTGCATTGAGTGTCTTGAGATGGGTTAAACTATTATTTGAATATATATTTATTTTTATAATGTGAGCATAATTAATTTATTTTCCTTGTTTTTAATTTAGCTACAATTGTTTCTGTATCTGCCAATTTAAATTATGTTCCGATCCTCAAAAGTATGTTTCCTACTTTGGTCTGTTCTGAAGTCAATTTAACGTCAGTACCTAGTAACACTTGGTGGTTAGACTCAGGTGCAACTACTAACATCAGTGTTTCTATAAAGGGTTGCCTAAGCTATCAGAAGCCAATTGATTCTAAAAGATGGATATATGTTGGAGATGGCAAATCGGTAGAGGTGGAAGCTATAGGGCATTTTAAATTGTTATTAAGTACTGATTTTTATTTGGATTTAAAAGACACTTTTGTTGTGCCGTCATTTAGACGGAATTTGGTTTCAGTTTCTTATCTGGACAAATTAGGTTATTTGTGTTCATTTGGAAACAATAAGTTCAGTTTGTCTTTTAATTCAGATATTGTTGGAACTGGTTCACTTTTGCCTTATGATAATTTGTATTTACTTGATACTGTGACCACCTATAATGAAACCCTTAATACAGAATCACGAGGTACTAAACGTAAAATTGATGATACTCACTCAGGAGCATTATGGCACAGGCGCTTAGGTCACATCTCTAAAAATAGAGTTGAACGACTTGTGTTAAATGAAATCTTAGAGTCCATTAACTTCACCAACTTTGATGTTTGTGTTGAATGCATTAAGGGCAAACAGACCAAAGTGAAGAGATTAGGTGCATAGAGCTACAGACGTCTTAGAGTTGATACATACGGACATTTGTGGGCCATTTCCTACACCTTCGTGGAATGGTCAACAATACTTTATATCATTCATAGACGATTACTCACGATATGCATACTTATTCCTTATACATGAAAAGTCACAATCTCTAGACGTGTTCAAAACATTTAAAGCTGAAGTTGAAAATCAACTCAATAAAAGAATTAAGTCTGTCAGATCTGATCGTGGTGGTGAGTACTATGGCAGATTTGACTGGTCGAGTGAACAGCGTCCAGGACCTTTTGCCAGGTACCTAGAGGAGTGTGGAATTGTCCCACGGTATACCATGCCGGGATCACCTAGCATGAATGGTGTAGCTGAAAGACGAAACCAAACTCTTAAAGATATGGTCAGGAGTATGATTTGTCATTCCACCTTACCGGAGTCACTCCGGGGAGAGGCACTAAAGACGACAGACTTATATTCCGAACGAGTACCAACTAAAGCAACGACCAAAACACCTTATGAGCTTTGGACTGGGCGACAGCCTAGTTTGAAGCATTTCCATGTGTGGGGTTGTCCAGCTGAGACAAGGCCTTATAAGCCAAATGAAAAGAAATTGGACTCCCAAACAGTAAGTAGTTATTTTATTGGTTATGCTGAAAGATCCAGGGGATATAAATTTTATGATCCCACATTAAAGACAAATTTTGAGACAGGAACTGCTACGTTCTTTGAGGATATTGAGTTTGGGGGGAAGAATAAAACCAGGAACTTTGTCTTGGAGGAAGAATTGGTAACAATTCCAGAACCGATTCAAACAGTTACTTTTGATAAAGTAAGTTC